GAGAACACTCACTCAAGGAAGCAGGAAAGTGCTTCCACATTGGGAATCTGAGGAAGGAACCTGCGGACCAGGGTCTTGAAGCGCTTCAGCGCTAGAAGTTTTCATAGATGCTGTGAGGTCTGCTGGAGTCATCTGTGAGCACCACAGCCAGGAAGGTGGGTAGTGCGCCCTCCCCATATACTGTACCTGGCCATTGGTGCACCTCATTGGGAACATGATTTTAGGTGGGTCTGTTTTGTGTAGGACAAAGCTGACTGGTTGTATACTTTTTGATTTGCCAGAGTCTGTGCCTGTAGGGTATTCATTGGGTATATATGAACAGTGTGTTTTTTGTACAAGTATTTGCCTGGCCCATGTTGTATGTGCAATCTCAATTGTGGGAATACACATGAATATTTAGGATAAATAGGGTATTTTTCTCCAAACATTCATGCAGTAACAGGTGGTTTCTCTGTATGTTTAAGGTGGAGATATCAGATGTTCACCTGTTCAGAAGCCATGTAGTGCATTTTTGTGTGGAGATGTTAATATGGTTTTGTTTGTGCATTAAGGTTGAAATTCAACTTAGTACCCTGTGGACAGGTGAATTTTGTACACATATTCTTTCTGTGCTTGAGCTGCCAGGAACCAGCTATGGTAGCTGACACTGTCTGACCTTTCAGTTTGATGTTCAGTGGCATCAGGTCTTAGGTTGAAATTAGTCTTGAGATAGATATACCTCATAAACTAAAAGTCAAGGCTTCTTTACTTACCCCCTATATATTTTATCTTATTAAGTGTTTACTAACAAACCTCTTGTGTGTGTGTGCATGCGTATTTGTTGTGCATGTGTACTCACAGTTATTAATACTAGGCATTCATGTGAAGTAAACGTATTCAGACAACAATGTGTTCATATCTTGGAGATTGTCCATGTATTGTGAATGGGGCATCAGGGACCCTTTTGGGAAAGTGTTGATCCTGATCATTCTGATCCACAGCATTGCTCCTAACAGGGATAGTTCATTCTTCAGGGGCAAATCATCCACATGTTTATTGATTTTTGGCTCTTACTCATGCAGGTGGGTTCAACCGTGTATGCTGCAGCATATATGTGGTCTAGGAGTATCAGTGATGAGATAGCTGTGGAGAAAAGAAACTTTTAAATAGGCATCATGTTTGTGATGGGCAGCAAGCAAAAAAAAATGTGGGGTTTTCAAGACAGGAGGTGAGTTGGGAAAAGTCCTTGTCCATGCCAACACACTGAGCATCATCTAGGCAGTTACAGATGCTGGTGGCTGCTCTGAGGCTAAGTTGGTGGATGAAAGCACTGTGCTCCACAGTGGGCCTGGCTAATATTCTGATTCATAGCTTATCTTGGTATTGTCCATGTGATGCTGAAGCCTGCAGAACCTCTGCCCCACTACCACATGTGCCCTTGGTGGTGTTTGCTGGTGGAGATCAGGTAACCCTTCCCTGGAAAACCTGAGGCTTCAGGGCTAGTCAGGACCTCCAGGGACCCCAAATATCAGAGAAAATTTGAGTTTCTGTTTTGGTAGCTATGTTCCATTGGGTCATGTATTGAAGTAAAATTCTTTTTTCTATTCTGAAGGGTAAG